GGGGGGGGGGGGGGGGGGGTGACCCGACAGAGGGAGGCCGTGCAAGTCTCTTGCATCATTAAGGAGTTCTGCTGCTGCTTCTGCTGCTGTTGCAGCACGTAGCACCGTTGTTGTTGTTGCTGCTGCTGTTGCAGCAAGTAATACCTCCATTGCTGCTACTGAAAAGAGCACGTCTCTGCTTCTGCTGCTGCTGCTGCTGCTACTGCAGCAGCAGCAAGTATCTGCATGGCTGCCGGGACACGCAGGCACTAATGCTAGTGGGTGCAACAGGGCATAAGGGGGTTTGCTTGCTGCTGCTGCTGCTGCAGCAAAGAAGCGAGGCGCCTGTACGGTTGTGTCCCCCCCTCTTGGTTATATTTTATGCCTCTTATTTATGTCTTTGCTGCGTCTCCTTAGTTGTGCTGCAGCTGCTGCTGCTGCTGCTGCTGCTACTGCTGCTGCTGCTCCTTAATAAGCTGTTAAATGCTGCTGTCTCTAAACAGCAGCAAGCAGCAAGTGTCTCCAAACAGCAGCAGCAAAGTGTCTGCAGCTGTCTGCAGCAGGAAGCAGGTGTCACTATACAGCAGCAAAGTTATGTGTTGGTTAGTTGTCTCCTTTTTTTATATAAATAATTATTAATTATATCTATTTATACTATTTATAAGAGGCAGCAACAACAGCAGCAGGTGCTGCTGCTGCTGCTGCTGCTGCTGCGAGCAACGAATAGTGTGTTGGCTGTACGTACACCTGAAGAGAAAGCAGAGTTTTGAAAAAGGAGCCCTGCTGCAGCAGGCAGCTGCAGCAGCAGAAGCAACGCATGCAGCAGCAAGTTGCTGCTGCATGCGTTGCTGCAGCGAATTGCTGCCCTCAGCAATACCTACAAACACCCTTATATACATATACATATATATATATATGCATACATATATATATTGTATATATACATATATAATATATATGTATACATATACATATATTATATGCATGTATATACATGTATATACGGATAATATGTATATGTATGGATATACATACACATATATACATATATACATATTATTATATAGTATACATATATATACTATATAATATACATTTTGTATCTCTTATATATATATATATATATATA